AGGCAATTCTGGTAACTCTCACAATGATTTTAATTTAAAAAATACAAACTGCAAAAATCAGAGAAGCTTCCGAAAATTCCACAAAAAAATCTAATTGTCATAATATTAAACATAAACAGCGGCAACGTTGCGGTGAGCGATCTGCCGCTGACGCCATCAAGCTAGAATCGGCTAGAATCGACCAGCCGGACCAGCGCGTTAGTGTTCGAGAACGATCACGATTGCTTTGAACGGGATAAATACGCACAGCGCGGCGACATTGCGCCTAGTTTAAAACTGAACGCGTAACCAACGTCCAGCGGTTGGGTTAGTAGAGAACAACAAAAAATAATATTATGGCAAGCAGTTGTAAGAAGGTAAAGACATACCACTTTCATTCGGAATGGGAAGAACAATACTTTTTTACAGAAGTTAAAGATAAAAATGTGTGTTTGTTATGTAATACTTCGGTCTCCGTTGCTAAAAAAGGAAATATTGAGAGACATCATAAAACTGTACATTCTAATTTTAAAAAATTATTCCCATTACATTCTGCTGCCAGAAAGGAGAAACTGAAACAGTTAAAAAAAGCAGTTAATTGGACAACAATCAATATTTTTAAGAACAGTCGACAAAAATAAGGCTGCAACTGAAGCATCGTACCGTGTGTCCCAGATAATTGCACAAAAAAGAAACCTTATGAAGACGGGGAAATGATAAAACAGGCGTTTTTAGAAGCTGCTGATTCATTATTTGCCAACTTTAGAAATAAAGACGAGATAGTTTCAGCTATAAAATCTATGCAACTTTCTGCTAATACAGTGATAAGACGTGTAGAAGTAATGAGCAATGATATTTTTTTACAGTTAAGAACTGACTTAGATAACTGTGTTTATTTTTCACTTCAACTGGATGAATCAACAGATGTCGTTGACACTGCCCAGATGGCTGTGTTCGTCAGGATGGTTTTTAGTGATTTTACGATTAAAGATCTTTTGAAGTTTATTCCACTGAAAGGACACACTACTGGACAGGAGTTGTTTTCTCATTTAAAAAATATTATTTCTTCCGAGAAAATTCCAATATCGAAAATGGTAGGCTTAATAACCGATGGCGCTCCAGCTATGGTGGGTTGTGATAAGGGTCTGGTGGCGTTATGTCGAAAAGATGAAACTTTTCCGCAATTTCTCTGTTACCACTGCATTATCCATCAGCAAGCATTATGTGGAAATTTCCTGAAACTAAACAACGTTATGAAACTGGTGGTAAAAATTGTGAACAAGATTAGAGCTCAAAAGTTACTAAGAAGAATATTCAAAACCTTGGCCGATGAAGTTGACTGTCAATACGGGGACCTACTCCTTCACTCTGAAGTCCGATGGTTAAGTAGAGGACGGGTGCTGAAACGTTTTAATGATATCCTATCTGGCATAGTTCAATTTTTCAAACAACGCGATGAACCGACTCAGGAACGAGAAAATTCAATCTGGCTTAGAGATTTTGGTTTTCTCGTGGACATTACAGAGAAATTAAACGAACTTAATTTGCAGCTTCAGGGGAGAGACAAAGAACTAGCGGAAATGATTTCTAATATAAAGCATTTATCAAAAAGCTGGAGTTTTGGGAACAAAACTTAATTAACAGCGATGCCAAGCATTTTCCTATTTTTTCAGAAAAAATATCTCAAAATCCATTAGAACCCTATGACAGCAAATATCATGTAGAAATAGTTTCTACCCTGAAGAATAACTTCAAAAATCGTTTTAAGGATTTCAACGAAATGGCTTTAGTAGCGCAGTTTGTTGTTTCACCCTTTATGGAAATTGATATCCAACAGTTTGCAACTTGTGTTATGCAGAACTTTGGCGAAGACATCGCTGCAACAGAAATGGAAGTAATTGAGTTTCAAAATGATTTAGCCTTAAAATCGTTAGTCTCAAGTACCAAATGTATCTGGCCTATTGTAAGTAAAGACAAATATTCAGTTCTATGCCGTGTTGCCTTGAAAGTGAAAGCATTATTCAGTTCAACCTATTTGTGTGAATCTTATTTTTCCAATATGAAGTTTATTAAGAACAAATATCGCAATCGACTTACAGATTGGATAATTGTATTCGAATAGCTGTATCAAATTATACTGCAAACATTAAAAAAAATATCGATGAGTCTGAGTGTCAGCCTTCTCATTGAACGTGCTTTTTTATTTTTCAATGTTTATGTTCATGATAGTGCGTTACTTTTTTGTTGTTATTATTAACTATTTTTAAATCTTACGTGACATGCCGTTGTGGCTGGATAAAAGTTTGTGTTTATTTTTCAAACACCTTCGTTTGTAGGTAGGAATGTAGCTATGAACTAGTAATATTAGTTATTTTGTTATTAGTTTATTATTAGTACCTATGTATTAAAAGTTAAATGGTAAAATAAATACATATAATGATAAATTAACTGTGGATTATTTCATTTACGTGGCTTCCGTGTGGGTAGCTCGCTGTTTATTCCAAAATTAACAAAGTAGCTCAACACATTGAGAGGTTGGCGACCACTGGTCTAGATATAAATATCTATAGATTCACCATTATATAATGCAAAATTGTAGAAAAAGCATGTTGTGATTATTCAAATAAAACTCAGTAATATCATTGTTATTATTTTTGTATTGCTTTGCTGATATTGAAACACGACGCCCCTGGGTCTGATATTTTTTTATTATTTTCTTTAAATAGTTTGTTGCGTTGTTCGAGGATATAGAAATCACTTTCTATTTGGCACGTCTTTTGTTCATCGAGTGTAAATTGTTGGAAGGCAAATTCTAACTCAGGGGACGGCCCGAAAGCCGTATATTGTTCGGGCTGTTTTCGGGGTATTATGTTACGTGAAAGTTGAGTAGGCCCACTACTCAACCTTTCTCTGTCTTATGCATTGACTAAATGGGAAAATTAAAGTATAAATACGGGGTTCGAAAGTAAGAACTGGGTTAGAATTCTTCCTGCCTTTCTCACGTCCAGTTGACAAAAAAAGTGTAAGATTCAGTTATCTTTAAGGTGACTCCCTTCTATATACTCTTCAAGTATGTTGATTGGTTTATCCCATAAGGTGACAGCTTTTTTTGTTATATTTGGAAAACGCAGTAAAAGATATCGAGGGAGCAGATAAATTATTTTCTGTATGAAACGACTTCTGTTGCGCTATACACCGTTACCTTTAAGGTGACTTCTTTCGTTATACATTTGTATATCGAGAGGTAGTTATGTGTTACCTATCAGATGACCAAACAGACAAAACTTGTGGAAAACGACTAAAAGTATTGCGACTGTCGTTCTACTTTTGTCGACGATATCTTTTTCTTTGTTGTGTGGATCCCCATACGTAGATTTTAGCGATAATTGTATCTTCTTTTAGACGTTAGGATTATCGGTTTTAATCGCGTTCTAGAACATACTTCGAGATCAGCGTTTTCGACGCACATTCCTACCTAGTGTCCTTTGTATAGTAGTCATTATACAGCCGGGGGAGAGCAGTTATTGCAGCATGGTTTTATTACAGGTATCATTTTGTAATTAATTATGTGTTTAAAAGGGGAACAATTCTTATTTGGGTAAAATTTAGTAAATTGTAATTGTTAAGTTATGTGGGTAGTTTTTTTCATTTCATTGTCAGGGCATTTCATTTTATTTCATAGGGCAATAATTAATAATTAGAATTACGGTCATAAAAATCAATTATTGTAAATCCAGCCACAACAACTAATAAACTAAGCCCTTCTGGTTTATGATCATAAGAATCAAGTATCAAAGTCCTTTTAGGGTTTGGGAAACCAATAACCTGCTTTTGTGGCTATAAATTGTCGTCTTTTGCGTTCATTTAGATGGTAGACAGATGTTTAAATTGTATTACATTTATTTGTCGAGTCCTATTGTTAAGTAAATTACGGTAATAATATTTTCTTTCATTTTGTATGATGCTAAAGTGGGTAAAGTCATGTCTTACTTCTAAACGTTGATAATTTACTTTTTTGGGTTCTTTTTAAGATTGCATATGTACAGAGGCGAGTAACAATATAATTTTTGGTATTATGTTTAGGTAAACGGACATATTAGGCTCATCTGGGCATCACGTTATCACATAGGTTATAGAACTCCGGTATAATTGTTATCCTTTTAGAAAAATGAGGTGAGATTGAGGTGGGACTACAGCTTGTGGTTTCGGAGCTGTCATTTCCAGCATTGATTTGTCGGTAATTAGAGCAAAAGAGCCTTCAGCCACCCATAGTACGTGCAGAACCTCAATAGTAGGGCCTAAAAATGGTACATTTTCTCACGTCTGTGGAAATAAAAGCCTGATAGAGGCTAGGATGGATCTTAAGAAAAGATACCCCAAAAGTGGGCCTAACGGGTATCCCCCTTTATATCAGGTGTTCTGTTGTCGTACAGGTTATTGTTATATATGCAGTACTGAGCACAATCGTAAAATACGGTATTGAGATATCAGTGGAAAGGTGTTACGCAAGATGAGGTTAAACTTCCTATTTACATAGTTATATCCATATTCATATCGCGCCATACTCTTCGTGATACCGCTGAACTTCACTATATCAGACAATACGTATGCAGGTAGTATATTAGCAGTGTGTATGATTGTGCATTATAAAGGGATAACAAATATGCTGTAGTACTGTCATCATACTTTCACCGGTTTATGGGAGCTTAATATTCCTTCGGTTAGAAATGAGACATGGAAAAGGCCACACATGTGTTATGTTAAACTAAACAAACATTATTGTCAACTTCCCGCTATGAGAAATAAGTTTCAATAAAACTATTCTTAATCTATTTTTGTGTTTACTTTTTTGGTTCCTCCATTACAGCTACATTGAACTCTAAGAGAAATTTTGGGGTCCTACAAAAATCACTTCGTGGGTATCTACTAGACGTATTTTTAGGCCAAGGTTTAAATATTTGTAAAACTAAGTTAGGACCCGGTTTGTCAGGTTACAGTATTGTAAATATTATCTTTTTTAGGTTCCACCAATGTTTGGTTTAGATACAACGGATGTGTCGCAATGGGATGAAAATGTCAGCAAAAAAGCCACAGAGATAGTAGAAAGCTACATTATGAATACTGCATGTGCCTATGAACCATTACCTAAGCTATTAACCAATTCCACTCCAAATAACGAAGAGACAAGTTTTGTTTGCGATACATGTGAGAGAGTGTTTGTTGGAGATTTTCAGTGGAACATTCATATGAATTCTAATAAACACAAGCGACTTGAACGTAAGTCTAAAAACAAAAAATTGAAAATAAATTAGTGATTTTTAAGTTGTTTTTTTTATTTTCCTTGATAAATTATGGACAGTTGACAAATAAATAAAGATAGTAGGTATGATATAAAATATATAAAAACCAAATAAGTATAAATAAAATACATGTCGCACTAATTCCTTACTAAAAATTAAAATAAACAGCCTTTATTTTAACAAATAATTATATAAACACATCATCTGTATCCAGGGTTCGATTTGAGACGGAACGGCGTTCCTGGACCTTCTTATATAAAAAAGAATCGACACTAACGGAAAATTGGAGAAAATCGTTTTGAGACAACGCTCTCAAGAAGAAGTTACTGGAAAAATATTCCGAACGGCATAGAAGGTTTTTAAAGAAAATCGGTCATTTAACAATTATGAATTTTTGAGACGTTATTAAATCAGTTTCATGTGTTAATAGGCTTAAATCCTTTATTGACAAACTCTATGTTGTCTATCATGCTTCACCAGAGAACTCCGAAGCTGTGTAAGTCTACTGGAGACTGAAATTTTAAAAATTGGAAGAGTTTTGAGCATCCGTTGGGTTGCATCTAGTTTCTGATCTGTGTCAGCCGTTTGGGAGTCCTATGAAGCATTAGTAAAATACTTTAAAGAAGCTTCCAATGACCCAGCTAGAGACAACAAAGAAAAAAGTACTTTTTCCAGCCTCCTTCACAAAATCACAGAAACGAATTTCTTACTAGACCTGAAGTTGATGGCTGATGCTTTGCAAGAACTAAGCGAAGCTTTACAGCATCGCAATGCAGAGTTGAGCTGTGCAAACAAAGATTTTTTTTTCTCCTGGGATCGTCTGACTATGTCTCCGAATAACACTGAAGTATTGGTTTATTGTGTTTTACCCCATGTTAGTTCATAGCACCCACTCTGTCACCTTTGTACCTTGTACAAGTTTGTACAGATCCTTGGGTGAGTGGGTTCTATACGTTGTTGAATCAACCTGGGGTTGTCCAAAAAGAGCTTCGCATTCGCACAGTATGTGTTTGGCCGTTTCTGGTTTCTTGTGACATAGTTGACACATGAGTTCCCCATTGTACATGTCAATTTTGTTCAAGTATCCCTTTACCGGGGCGTGCAGTCATGAATCCTATTATCACTTTCAACTGGTTCCTGAAATGAATTATACTCCTTTTGTAAAGGTTTAATCAATTAAAAATGACAATTAGCTTGACAAGATTAACTAACATTAATAACATAATGACAATTATAGAATAACCATAGAAATATTACCACATTCACCCCCCATTTATTTTAAATATAATCGACTAAATATTTCGGTCGTCGTTTCATTCTAGTGGGTCGAGGATCTTCACTATGACTCATCCTAGTAGGTCGGGGATCTTCGTCAGGATTTATCCTAGTAGGTCGGGATTCTACATTAGGAGCATTCAATAACTGAGTTTTGGAAGGAGTTTCAGATTCTTGAAAATTCGGTGCCGCCTTAGCTTGAGAATCGCATCTGCCGTTTAAAATATTCACGTCTTCATCAAGAGGTTTCTCGTCATTATTATTTGGGAGTTGTAGACTTGTGTCTTCAAAAGGTTGTGGAATTGACTCTGCGTTCTCATTATTATTATTATTATGATAATTAGTAAGGTTTAAATCTCCCCTTGGTGCTAGATATCTTAATGAGACTATTGTTTCTCTTCCATCTGAATGTTTGATAGTAGCATATTCGGGATTGGCTTCAATAAGGCATACTTCCTCAACCAGAGGTTCGTACTTATTGTTTCTGTGGAACTTTTTCAAAAGTACTGGACCCGGTGATAAAAGCCATGATGGTAACGAAGTTCCATTAGTGGACTTTCTTGTATAAGCAAACATTCTCTCATGTGGCGTACAATTTGTTGATGTACACAACAATGTTCTAATGGAGTGCAACGCATCTCCCAATACGACTTCCCATTGTGATGGCTGTAAACCTCGTGTTCTAAGAGCTAGTGTGACTGATTTCCAGATTACACCGTTGTATCTTTCAACTAATCCATTACCCCGCGGGTTATAAGGAGAAGATCGACTTGTCGCAATACCATGAGAATGTAAGTAAGTTTTTAACTCCTTAGACATAAATGCAGCCCCCTGATCTGAATGTATGTAAGAAGGTAAGCCAAAAATTGAAAATAAATTTGAAAGATACTTAGAAACTGTAGCAGAAGATGTATCTTGACATGGATAAGCAAAAGGGAAACGAGAGTATTCATCTATAATAGTTAAAATATATTTATTTCGACTAGTTGTTGGTAACGGTCCTTTAAAATCAAGATTGAGTCTCTCAAAAGGGGAAGTTGCCTTTATTAAAATACCTTCATCATATTTTACAAATTTTGGTTTTAATTCTGCACATATAGGACATGATGACGTCATTTTCCGAACGTCCTCAATTGAATAAGGTAGATTTCTAGAACGTACCCAATGAGTCATCCTTGTAACTCCTGGGTGACAGAGTGCTTGATGTAGTTCAAAAAGAGAAGTTTTGTTAACAGAACAGCATATTCTACTGAAGGCATCAGATACGGTATTTTCTACCCCCCTCCGGTAGATAATATCGAAACTGTAGCAAGCAAGTTCGAGTCTCCATCTGAGGAGTTTCTCATTTTTAATTTTGCTGCTGTGTCTTTGATTGAACATAAAGGATATAGACTTTTGATCAGTGTAAAGCTTAAAATGTTTTCCGATGAGGAAATGGCGCCACCTTTTGAGAGCCTCCACGATTGCGTAGACTTCTTTTTCAATAGAAGAGTTGGCGTTGTTCGCTTTTGGATAATGTTCTCGAGAAAAAGGCTACAGGCCGCCGCCCTTCCTGACTTAAAGTAGCCGCAATTGAATGTTCCGAGGCGTCTGTCTCTACAATAAAGGGTATATTGTCATGTATAGTAGTTACTGCTGACTTAGCTATTTCTAATTTAAGATTTTCGAAATCTTGTGCTACTGAAGGTGCAAGAAGAAAAGTTTTTGTCTGTACCAGACGATATATTTTTTCTGAGAATCTAGGGACCCATCTAGAGTAATGTGCGAACATGCCTAATGCTCGTCTCAAGGAAGCAATATTATTAGGTAATGGAAAATTTAATAGAGCCTCTAACCTTGATGGATCAGGTTTAAGTGTATTTTTTTCTATATGATAGCCTAACAAATTGATAGTTTGTTTTGAAAAAGAACATTTTTCTTCATTAATTGTAAAATTGTATTTTGAAATTATCTCAAAAAGGCGACCAAGATTTTGATCGTGCTCGGTCTGGTTGTTACCACAAACTGTAACGTCGTCAAGGTAAGCGAAAACTCCCTTTAATTTTTCGGTGGTTGTGATATGATCAAGAACTCTTTGGAAACAGACAACACCATTGGTTACACCAAAAGGAATACGACAAAACTGATATAGCTTTCCTTCAGCTTTATCATTATTACGAATCGGAATTTGGTGATAGGCACTGCGCAAGTCAATAGTACTAAATTTCGAAACTTCAGAAACTAACTTTTCAATATTGGGTAATGGATAAGCATCGAGAAAAGTAAAACGGTTAATTGTTTGAGAATAATCTATTACCATTCTTTTCCTATGGTGTTCATTTCGAGTCACGAGAACTTGTGCCCGCCAAGGAGATTGACATGGTTCAATTATTCCTTCAAGTATGAGTTTCTTGATTTCTTCAGATATAAATTTTGCATCGTCAACTGTTTGTTTGCGGGATTTTGTAATAATAGGCTTATAATTTGAACTTAAATTTGAAAATAAACTGACAGGTTCTATATTGGCACATGTTAAACTACAAATGTTTAAGGAAGATTTAGGTCCACCAAAATGCACTTCGATTGATTCATGCTGCTTAAGGATATCATGGCCTATAATAAGATCAGCACACAATTCAGAAAGGATAGTTACTTTTATTCCATTATAGTTATGACCTAGAATTTTTAAATCTACAAAACAGTGGCCCTTAATTTTAGATTGCAAAGAAATGGAGGCCATGAAATATGTCCGGAACTTGGATGTGTCGTGATTCTACGAGCAATAATAAAATTTTGATCAATATATGATTCAGAGCTACCCGTATCTATTAAAGCATCTGCTTCGAAATCATTTACTCTTATCTTAATAAGTGACTTTGATAAACACTTCGGAGCTGCAGCTCGTAGGTTAGAATTACTTTGAGTACAGGCAGTAGTAGACTTGATGTTTAGTTTCTTGCCCTGACAAACTTTAGCGAAATGGCCAAGTTTTTTACATTCTTTGCAAATAACATCCCTAGCAGGACAATTCACACGAGGATGTCTCTTATTTCCACAAAAATAACATTTCGCAAAGGAATTCGAAGCTGCGTTGCATGACTGACATGGCGATGGCCGGTTGGCTGTATCTTCTTGAGTAATATCTCTAGATTGCAATGCATTTCCAAAGTTTAATGGTATCTGAGCAGATTCTAAAGAACGTGCTTGAGTAACTGCTGTCTCAAGGGTTAATGAAGCATTTTCAAGAAGACGTTGACGAATTTGTTGGGAACTCAAACCACTTATGAAGGCATCTCTAATATAATCGTTACGATTTTCGTCACATTTTACAGACTTAAAGTTACAATCTTTACTAAGTATTTTTAAATTCTGAAGAAGTTGATCTATAGTTTCATCTTCGCACTGTTTTCGGGTTATCAGCTTATGCCTAGCAAATATTTCATTTTTGGGTTTCACGTAAACAGTTATCAAACGTTCTATAGCAGTCTCATATGTAGTACACTCACTAATATATTTAAAGACGGATGGTGAAGTATAATTTATAAGTAAATTTAGTTTATTTTCTTCTGTTAATATGGGTATCTCTTTTAAGAAATTCTCGAATGTCTTATACCAGTAAATCCATGCATCAGAGGCAGTGCTTGAATTCGGATCTACATCTAATTTATCAGGATGGAAGAGTCGACCCAAGAATGACTTGTTTTCAAGAATGGTAGCTGATGCTTCATTCGTTGTTAAAGGCATTATTTTTTTTAATT